TGAAATATCAGGACTTGGACTGGTCTGTTTGGTTTTCTTGGATTTTATTTTATGCTTTTGTTTTACAAATTTTGCTTTGTTTTTAATTGTAGTCTTTTTGAGTGAAAAGTAGTATGGGAGTTTGAGTTAAAAGTTACGCTGCCGTTGGATATTTGAAAAGAGAGAAGAAGAAAATGTTGGATAGACATGTCTACTGGCCGAACTGGCCCGCAAATCAGCGTCGGCCCGGCTCGAACTGGCCTTGAACCGGCCTCCTAAGGGCCGGTTCGTTAAATCGGATTCTTAGGGTCACAGTTCCGTCCCAATTCTATTTTTTTTATTTTGTCCCGCCGGTCTGGGTCGGGCCCGAGTCGGAAGGCGGGCCACATTGTTAATTTTTTTCTTTTTAAGGGTCGTGTCGTCCCGTGAACCGACCCTTGGTTCTTAGCGAGCCGGTCGCGGGCCATGTATTGGAGGGCCCGGGCCGGGCCGGGCCGGGCCGGGCCTTCGGTTGACTGGCCACCTCTAGTTGGAAGATAGTGATGATTTTCTTTTTTTTGAAGAAATCACGATAAATAAAAGGTATCTTGTGTTGTGTATACATAATAATATAAAAATATAACAATTATGATTTAGAAATTGACTATTTTGAGCTAGGTAAAATATGCAGGTTATAGAGAAATTGAGAACAGATAATTCAATACTAATATTCTCAATACTAATTAATATTATTAAAGATAGCTTTATGAAAATTCAACGGAAATATTCCAATAAAATTATTTCAACAGTAATTCCAACTGATATTTCAATATTATTAATTTCATTAGAAATTTTTTAGTGAATTCCAACGGAAATTCCAACAAAAATATTGTGTTGGAATTGGTTTTTTCATTGGATTTTGACGATTTCAAAGGTGGATTTTCCACGGGGTGGAAATAAAAATTCCAACGAAAATTCTTACGGTAAAATGCCGTTGCAAATATAGCTATTGGAATCATCAAATTCCATCTAAAATTTCAATGAAAAACACATTTCAACAGAAGTTTTACCATTTGAATATCCGTTGAAGTTTTTATTGAAATATATTATCATATAATTTTCCGTCAGAATCTAATAATTTTTTTTGTAGTGATTTCCCCGATATAGGTCACTATTTTAGTTTTATAAACTTTAGAAATTGGTGATTTGTTAAGTAAACTGACTTTTTCATTCTGTTGTGGTCTGACGGTGAGATGTGTTTTAGCCTTTGAGGATGTTTGGTACCAACTGTATTTTTATAATGAAATAAATCACGCCTTGAAACAAAATGGCCAACCCCTATATTTAAATTAAATTCTATTCATTATAACTTTTTATGGGCCAACCCCTATAATTAGATCAAAATTCTATGCATTAGAACTTTATGAGATACGAATTCAAATTGAAATAATTTGAATTAAGTTGTAAATGAATCGAATCAAAACGAAGATTAAGATATTCGATTCAGATTCGTAGTCCATTTGTAAACAAACTAATTATTTGATTCGTTTTGTCGATTCTTTTAGAATATTTGAACATATATGATTTGATTCGAAATTCGTTTTTAAAAAAAGTATTATAATTAAAAAATATATAATTACAAAAAAAAATTATTATATTTTTCCTATCTAATTTGAGATGTTTTTACATGTTATGTCATAAAAATATTAGGAATACTATAATATAGATATATATTATAAACAAATTTATATTGTATATAATATATAAATTTTATATATTCTTAACCAATCGAATATCGACAATTTTGAATCGAATATCTACAAATTTGAATTCGAATTCGTTTAACTTTCGAATATTCAACATTATTTGTATTCAAATTCGAATAACGAATATCGAATTGAATTTAAAAAAAAAATCGATTTGTTTACAAGCCTAAACTGAATTCCTTAGGTCATCTCCAGACCTTATCTCTACTCTAGCGTGAACTTTACTCTACTCTATAGTAGAGTTAAACCTCAATTTTGTTGATGTCGAAAATAGGACGATCAACTGTTAAATAAGAGTCGAAATTCGAGAACAAAATGATAAAAATATGTGTTTTATTTCTTATTTTTTGAGAGAGTTTCTTATCTATTTAGATGATTTGGGAAGAAGAATGAGGAGAATGAATAATTCCATTTCTCTCTCCTTCTCTTTTAATATATATACATGGCTCATTTTGCAAGTGGGCTAATAAAAAATGGTACATAATTATATAATGTGAGATAATCATCGTAGGTGCCCGGTTATGACTTATGACGGCTTCGATCGACAGTTTATGGCTAATCAGTCTCGAAAACATGTTTGTGTATTGACTTATTACCTATTTTCGGCTCCTTGGTTACTGAGCCGTATTTTCTTATTTCGTTTATCATTTATTCAATCGGAGCCAAATTTGGTATCAACAAATCTCCAGTCCTCATATCTCATTTTATTCTACATCAAATATATTATTTTTTTATTTATTTTTATTTCAAATAAATTGATATATATATATATATATATGTGTGTGTGTGTGTGTATATATTAATTTTATATAAATATTTATTACCTAAATAATAAGAATATATTTATTTATTGTATTTAATGAATTGGTATATATATGTATATTTAATTTATACAAAATGCTTATATATATATATATATATATATATATAT